TGGGTCAAAGCCCATAAAAGTCTAAAACAGTTAATATTATAAGACAATATAGCGGTGGTTGTCCTCGGATGCTATGAGGACTCACCAATCTTCAATCCTTGACAAGCCTTGGAAACGCTGCCATTTAAGCAACTCAATATATTTAAGACATTGGATTAAAATGTAGGCAAAATATGCGTTAGTACGAATTGTACCAAGTATGGAAACTATATACAAACATAAGATATCTCAAAGGGTTAGTCAACAATAAACATAATCATAAGAGATAAAGTCATAACCATAACATGAATATCATATGCATAATAAAACATCATAAATCCTATAAGAGTTCATACTTAAATCATTGTCATTCTTATTCAAACGAAATGCATCACAAGCCACCTCCAAGTATACTTGTGCAAGGTTAAGGTAACATCCCATGCTACTACCAAATCTAAGTAACTCTCTTTAGTCATTATTGATCATAATCCACTCTCATAATAAAGACCTAACTTCTTTATGTCATATGAGAACTATGCCCCTTGGCTACCTTAAAGCACACTTGTGCAATGCACGTGAAGCATCCCATTCCATTTGATTTAAAGAGTCTCTAGTAAACTTATTTCATATTGACAAGGACCTATCATCTTATGACAATGATGTCATGGAAAACAACCATTGTATATCTTGAAGTCACCCTATTCCATTTCATTTAAAGAGTCCCTAGTAGACTTATTTCATATTGACACAGAACTATCATCTTATGTCAATCATGTCATGCAAAGCAATCATATCTACTACCCAATATAAACATACATGACATAAGGGTTATGTCATAGGTATATTCAAGTCATACTTGTTCCATCTATCGATGGCATCCCATACTACCGTCCATACTAAGTACTTCTCTAGACTAACCTAATCCAAGCTAACTTATATTTCACCATGAAAAACTCATGAAAAAATCACATAATCATCATAGGAACATAATCGAATGCTATCCACTAGATTGGGATCACAATCAAGCCTTACCCACAATGCAATCACAACCCTCTCTAGATTTGGGTTCTTTCCATTAAAATTAAGGAAAACTAGGGGACTTTATGGATTGAAGAATACATGAATGAAAAATCTTCATATACCTTAGATAAGAGTCTTAAAGTCAGCTTGATTCCTTGGTGAATTTCGTCCTAAGAGCTTCCTATCTATTTCTCATCTTTTTCAATGGTGTTCTTGAGAGAATTTTGGGTGAGGGAGAGGTTTTGATTTGGAGTCTACGTTATAAATGAATATTGTACTGCTTTAATTCACTTCAAATCCCTTTCATAACCTCAAATAATTAATTCCTAAAGTACCCAAAATAACCCTGCACTTATTGGACCATTTAACCAATTCTAATTTTACTTAAAAACAACGCGACCAAATCTCTAATTCTTGATTTTGGAATTTATTATGAGACAAAATGGTTCATGTTGTCCCCGTGTCGCAGGGAAACTTTTTCCCCTTTGAGTGTTGCAGGCGCGACCCGCAGCACCCTCCAGAATCTTGGCTTCCGACAGCTTTCTTGGCCAATGTTTGGGTCTTGTAAGGTGACCCTTAGGGTGGCCCTGGGGTATCGTACTCGAACGTTTTGACTCCTTACATTTGAGTATATGTGTAGGAACCCTCTACATTGAATTTCACCCTCATGTTATATCCAAAACTCCACTGAAAAGCCCTACTACAGAGTAGTTCAACTAGGCTAGCTTCCGACCGTCTAGGTAAACCTTGGATGTTTCACTTCAAAACTCTTTCAAAATCAATACACTGAATCTTAACAGTATAATTAGTCATTTTAAGACCTTATAATATAATGACACACACATGTTAATTTCTATCTTTACCTTATTCATTTTTGGGTGTTAGAATATCTCCCACTTCGGAAACATTCATCCTCGAATGACACCTTACATTAACATCTCTTTAAAGGACCAATTCTAGACTAGAAGCCTATAGTAAATGCAATATACCTAAATGCACATACCCAAATCAAGGAAACAATTCAATTCCAAGCTAAATCATAACTACACATAATCATTTAAAGGCCTTATGAAAAAGGCTCCTTATCTCCCACTTGTGAATAAGCCACACTTGTCTTTCTAACTTCAGTTCATCATAATTAAGAGCAGAAAAATCAGCGAAGAAGATCAAAATCGTAGGATATTCTTGAAATTTTCGTAAATCATTGAAGAAAAAGATATTGGAAAGGGACATAATGAGATCACTGGGGATCACCCTTAGATCGGAGAGCATAAAACCTATTCTTGGCTTGAGGAACAATTTCCACATTATTAGAAGCAACTTGATCTCCTTCTCGCACACTGTCCTTTGCCTTAGGACAATCCTTCATCATGTGGCCATTCTCACCACACCCATAGCAACCATCTCTACCAGTCAAACACATACCTCATGTTTCTTACCACCCTTAGGGCAAGTAGGTCAAGAATACTCATTGATCTTCTCTTGAGGTCTAGGGTTAGACACCCTCTAATACTCATACCTAGAGGCGTTAGAATAACCTTGCCTCAAAAAGTTTTGTTGCTTCATAGAACGACCATGTCCATCGGATCCATCCTTGTGAATCCTATTTCTCTTTTTATCCTTCTTAATTTTGGACTCTTCTAGTTTTTGAGCAAACACCATGAGTTCGGAGATATCCATGTCATCAAAAAGCATTGGCATACGACACTCTTCTTCCACTAGTATGGACACCTTCGTCATGAACCTATTAATCAAGTCTCTAGGGTTTGCTACCAAGCTTGGGGAATACTTAGACAAAAGAGTGAATTTCAAATCATAATCTTTAACAGTCATATCACCTTGCTTGAGGTTTATGAATTCCCCCAACTTACCCTCCCTCAATTCCCTAGGGAAGAACCTATCAAGGAAATACGACTAAAAAGTCTTCCACTCTATGGTTTCATCCCCTACCGAACTAGAATCTTTTGATTGTTCATACCACATTTGTGCCACATTTTTCAATTGGTAAGCGGCTAGATCCACTTTTTCCTTGAAGTCAATCCCAAAATAGCAAGAGTCTTAAAAATCTCATCTATGAACCCATTTGGATCTTTGTCCACCTTGGAACCACTAAATTACGTAGGGTTCATCCTAAAAAACTCTCTAATCCTAAAGGCATTCATTCCCCCACAGGGTTTGCCACCATTTACCTATTGGATTGGGCCGTCAAGGCTTGAGCCAACAAGTTTATAGAAGTCCTAAAATCCTCTAGAGAAACATTCCCCACTTGTGGATCACTAGGAACTCGAGGAGGAGCTTGACCTCCTTGGGGGGAGGAGCCTATTGATTTTCAATTCAATCTCCTTCCCTTTTAAAATTAGCCCAAGTGTAGCCATAACCTACAAAATCATAGGCAAATATTAGAAAAGGGTCTACTAAAGAAAAAATCTATGGCACGACTTGAAGAATGAAGAAGTGGAACTTTCCTTAGCATCCCATAGCCTCCTACACATAGCTATGTCACGACTCACACATATAAATAACACTCTATTAGACGTGATTTTGAGAAATCCTATGACCATTTCATAAATTTCTGCTCTTATACAAAGTTTGTAATGACCCACAGTTACACCCTGGAAGTTAGAGCACTCTTGAGTCGCAACACAGCGTACTTGACCTCTCGGAGGTCTTGTACAAGCCCCTTATAAATCATTCATTGCAAATATTTGAATAGTAGCACAGAGTTATAACTTTTTCTTTAAAACATAATGCGGAATCATTTCATAAACTTATAACATATGTCTCAAAAACCATCAATGGCAACATTATTGCAAAAGTCATAGGTCAAAGCCCATAAATGTCTAACATAGAAAAGAACATAAAAGACAACATAGTGGTGGTTGTCCTCGGATACTATGAGGACTTACCAATCTTCATTCCTTGACAAGCCTTGGAAACTCTACCGCTCAAGAAAATCAATCTCTTTAAGACCCTACATTGGATTAAAATGTAGGCAAAATATGCATTAGTATGAATTGTACTAAGTATGGAACTATCATACCAACATAAGATATCTCAGAGGGTTAGTTAACAATAGACATAATCATAAGATATAAAGAAATAAGCATAACATGAATATCATAGGCATAATAAAACATCATAAATCATATAAAAGTTAATATTTAAATCATTGTCCTTCTTATTCAAATGAACTACATCACAAGCCACCTCCAAGTATAACTGTGAAAGACTAAGGTAGCATCCCATACTACTACCACGCTAAGTACCCCTCTTTTGTAATTCTTGATCATAATCCACTATAATAATTATCAACGAACTACTTCATGTGATATATATGCACTATGACCCTAGGCCACCTCAAAGAAAAGTTATGCAATATATGTAAAACATCCCATTCTACCTCACACAAAAAGTATATCTCGAAGTCACTCTATTCCAATTCATTTCAGGAGTCTCTAGTAGACTTATTTCATATTGACAAGGAACTTTCATCTTATGTCAATCATGTCATGGAAAGAAACCATAGCTACTACCCAATGTAAACGTACATCACATAGGGGTCATGTCCTAGGTAGCTTCAAGTCATACTTGTTCCATGTATGGATGGCATCCCATACTACCATCAATACTAAGTACATATCTAGACTAACCTAATTAAAAATAACTTATATTGCACTCTTGTCTATTAAGCTTAATCGTACCAACATAATAGACCTACTATCATGGAAACCATATCAAGATACCAACTAAGGTTACAATGAAGGATACACAAGTACCAACCTAACTACCATGCAACTAATCATGTATATGAAAGCTTATCATAGGGGATCATGAATCCTCAACCTTAAGATATCATGAGAAGCCTATCTCAACCTATTTCATGGAATACACCTTACATGCAAGTTAAGCTAATCATTAGGAGAGTATAGGCCTTTCCCCTAAAGCTATCATGAAATGGTGTTGGCGAAACCAAGTCATGCTATCATGATCAAGCGTACTAGAAACACAAGACCAATCTAATCACGGGAGAGCTTGCGTCCTCCAACCCAGGCTATCATAAAGTTCATCATTTAAGCTATCATGAGATCCAACATCTCAAGCTATCATCAGACCTAGAATCTCAACCTATATCACCTTGGCCTTATCTTACCAAGTCAATTATACAATAAAAGGTTATTCAATCAAGCGATTGTAGTTTACCATGCTTTGATTCATTTTAGGTCCTTGAGCCAACCTAGAATCGGTCTTTGTGAGAGAACTTACTTCCCCTAAAGTGTCTATACCTAAGTGTAAAATAATAAAGGAAACATCACCATACTTCCTTTATAATGAATTTACCCCCAAAGCCCTAAAGCCAATGAAATACCATCCCTATAATTGATTATAAACTTCAATGTATCGGGATCCATGTCCAATTATAAGCTTGCTTCATTCAATTAAATCATTAGATGATCAATCTAGTCATACTTGACCACACAGGTTCAATTCAAACTTTTTAGGTCAAGATCATATTTAATCAATTAGGCCTAGTTCAATTCTTATCTAGGTGATTCAATCATGATCAAATATCCCACAATACAATTGAATGAAGAAGATCAACCTAGAACCTTTATCTTGCTCTAATGGACTAAAACCTCCATCATCACCTTCAACATCAAAAACTACAATTCACCATGAAAACCTTGTGAAAACATTACATAATAATAATATGAACATAATTGATTGATACCCACTATATTGGGATGACAAACAAGCCTCACCCACAATGCCATCACAACCCATCTAGATTGGGGTTCTTTGGATTAATAATTTAGGAAAACTAGGGGGATTTATTCCATGGTGAATTTACTCCTATCCATATTAGAGCCTTAAACACTGATTGATTCGTTGGTGAATTTTCTCCTAAGAGCTGCCTCCAATTTCTCTTTTTCTTCAATGGTGCTCTTGAGAGAATTTTGGTGAAGGAGAGGTTTTAATTTGGAGTCTAGGGTATAAATGGCTATTGTAATGCTTAAATACACTTCAAACCCCTAAAATAACCTCTAGTAATTAATCCCTAAAGTACCCAAAAGACCCATGCACTTATTGCACCATTTAAGCAATTCTAATTTGACCTAAAACGACTTGACCAAATATGGGAAGTTACCGCACGTCGCGGGGTCACCTCTAATTCTTGGTTCTGGAATATATTTTAAGATGGAATGGTTTGTATTTTCCTCGCGTCGGAGGGAAACTATTTTCCCTTTGAGTGTTGCAGGCGCGGCGCGCAGCAGACTCCATATCTTGGCTGCCTGACAGCTTTCTTGGCCAACGTTTGGGTCCTCTTTGTGGACCCTTAGGTTGGTCTCCGGGATGTAATACATGAACGATTTGACCATTTACATGTCATTGTATATGTAATAAATCTCAATACTCAATTTAACCCTCATGCTATACTCCAAAACCCTATTGAAAAATCCTGCTACACACAAGTTCAACTATGCAACGTCTAAGTTGTCCTTGGACCTTTCACTTCTAAACTCTTCCAAACTCAACACAATGACTCTTAACATTTTAATTAGTCATTTTAATACCTCATAAGTACATAAGTCCACCTTGTTTTCTTGCACTTCATCTGGTTCTTCAACTTTGTTTAGAAGACGAGTAAGGATATCCTTAGTTCAAAAGATTTTGGTATTATTATTCAATATTGGACTATGATAAAGTTTACATAACAATCATTATCATTATCTACACTCCTCTTATATGTGTCCCTATCGAATTTATCTTGATCTTGATCTCTCCATCCATCCTCACAAATTATATTCTAACCTTGATTCGATCGGCATTAAAATGATCAAATGATAACCCCTATTAGTCTTGATGCAAAATGAGCCTTTTCATTTTCAAATTTTGCATCAATTGGATTTATAGCCTCACAACCACCCCCATGACATGCTTTGTTAAAAATGCCATTTGAATCATCATTTTCCCCATGTTTTCATCATGTTCTTGATTTTTATTCAACTTGTCTTTGGTCAGACCAAGATTTAGAGGATACACTCTATCATTCCTTGTATACAATGCATGATTAATTTTTATTATTTTGTAGACCAATATTGAAGCCACATAAAAAGTGCGAATCAGTTGATCAGGTATACCTTTGTTTATTGTGTCAAGGATGTTGTATAAATAATGCAAGAGAACGATATCCGACAACCCATGACTTGGAAATTGGAGCATCAACTTTTAAAATGTCAACCATGTCGCATGGATAGCTTCACCATCAATTCACTGGAAGTTCTTGTTATTATCCCTCAACTTAACCCTCTTATAAGGAGAGAAGGACTTTAATAAAACACCTCTCTGAGCTACTTCCAAGACGTAATCGAATCCCTTGGTAGTGCAGTCAACCATTTTATTGCTTTACCCATTAGAGAAAAGGGAAATTAATGTACTCGGACAAACTCTTGAGTGATGTTCTTGGAGAAAAATGACCCACACACATCCATGAAGTTTAAGATGTGGTCATGAGGGTCCTTATGAGAAAGTCCACTGAAGAGACTCTTCATTTGTAACAACTACAACAATGTTTTGGTCACATGAAATACCACATTTCCCACAGTTGGAGAAAATTAAATAGCAACCGCAATTCTGAACGGATCCTCATTGACATCATGCATATTCCTGATGTCATCATTGTTTCAAAGTTGGGTGGCGTTACTTCTATTTACACTCATTTATTCACCTATTACATAGAATCCAACAAGAGAAAAAATAAGATAATTCAACTATAATAAAATTAGTTCATCAATACACTTCAATAAAAGAATTCTAAACACCACTCCCAAGCA